ATCAGAATGATATACCTCCTTAATTGAACGGGCAATTCTCCAATATGATATCAACACGGTATCGGTATGATATCAGTATAGTACCAGTGTGATATCATGCTGGTTATTCCTACAAGGATGTTATCAGACTAATATCATGTTGGGCCAACATGATATCATACTGATTCGGAATGATATTTTGCTAATCGACTTTACCAAGGATTGAAGGCCGTGCTCACAGTCGTTCCTCGACAGCCCCCAGAGGGCTCCACGGGGATTTTTTATCGTATCTCCGGGGAGGTCAAACCTCATTGTGCTTTGCCTACATTGAGATTTTGGGAGGTTTAAGGAGGACCTTAGAACAGTACCATAAGAAGGGCAATTTTTAGGAACTTTGAATGAAAATCAGCAGCAAAATTTTAAAAATATATCCTTAGTATAGATTATTTTGTAATTTAGCGTTGCGGAACATACGAAATACAACATTTGGATGACGATTTTACGAAGAACAGAAGATTTCATTTTGTTACCTAATACAATTTTCCACTCAGATACGACTTGGCCCATTTTCTCAAAATTTTATTTTTGAATTTACTTCTCTTTAGGCAAATTTTCTACAGTTTTATCAATTTGTATCAATTGCATTGTCCTTTCATACAAGCCTGATACTCGGCGGGATGGCAGGAGTCCAGACCACAGCACAAGTACTTTCGTTAAAATGTAAATAGTTGAAAAACATAAATTTTAATTGTACTGTAGATCGAACTGTAAGTTAAAATCTAGGAAAAACATAAACTTTAACTCATTTGCAAAAAAAAAAAAAAAAAAAAAAAAAAAAAAAAAAAAAAATCTATTCAAGTAAGCTAAATTGTATGTTTTTCGACTTTTTACATTTTGACACCTGATATTGTAATGACTTACCGAGCAGGGTTTATGATTTTGGGCATGTAAAAAAAAACTTTTTCCGGTAGCATGACAGGATACATAAAAAAGAGTAAAAAACAATGGTGTCAACTTGGAAGAATGGCCACTGGTCGTGGCGAGGACGGACCGTATGCGCGAGCACCAGGGAGGAGGAGAAGGACGCGTTTCCCACCGATCTCGGATGCCCGGGTAACCGCGGTGACCTGTTCCTGTCGGGGCACCCGGAGAGCATCAGAGACCAGGACGAGTCGTGTGTGATTTGACCCGTTTTCCGAGCTGACTTTGAATTTGCAGAGGTCACGCCGCCACCGGCCGCCCGGTCCAACGACCTGAACCGCGCATTACACTAGAAGAAACTAGAATATCACTGTCTCGGCTTGGGTTTCCACCGTCCGCGCTTCAACGCGCCGCCGGGTCAGGCCGGGCTTATGCAACCGCTTCCCTTCCACACTCGGAAAAAAGTTTGGTCACATGAACCGTATAGCTCGGTCAGTGGCGTGGCGTGAATTGCGATATATCGATTGTTGTGCCATTTAAACCCATGAAAAAAGATCGATTATCAAGGTGTTTGCAGCGAACACCTCAGTAATCGATTCTTTACCATAGCTTCAAATGGCGAGATATCGATAATCGATTATTCACGCCACGCCACCGAGCTCGGTGCTCTATATCGGCCGCGGTATTGGGTTCATGTAGTAACCGTGCTTCGATGCATGTAACTGAACTGTGGGCTGATTGTGGAAATTGATAGACGAAGCTATAGACAAAGATGACTAAAGGGATATGGAGGGAACCTGGTGGAAGCTGGTGGTTGCAATGGACAAAGGCAGTAGGTAATAGACTAACTAAATGCAACCCACGAGAAACCCGACAGTTAGTCCATCATTTTCTCCCTTAGTCTATGAGAACCACACATTTCAACCAATAGGATCGCTCTATACCCCCTTAGTCTTTTTTGTCTATAGCTTTGTCTAGAAATTGAAAGACAACGCGATAGGAAAAGGTGACCTGATGAGTATGGAGCGACCCTAGGGGTTTCAGGACATTTTGTCAACGATTTTTTGTCCGCGCACCTTTTTTGTCCAGTAGTTTACGCCCACACGTAAAATAAGCAACAGTGACTTGGTCCAAGCGTTATATTTTAGTCGGTATGTAAAATTATATTGACAATATGGAAATGAGAAATTGAGAGAGAAGGAGGTGTTGTTATGGTTGCTCATTTTCTAAATGAAATGGTATTACTTTCTCCTTTTGAATCATCTTTTTAAATTGTCATTGGTGAATATTTGGTTTTATTTCTATCCTTAAAATATTGAATGTACAATATACCTTATATATGTATAGGTACTTTTTTTATTTTTTTTATTTTTTCTTTAGGGAATTATTCCTTCATTTTGAAAACATTTATATTTTTGAAACGTGACAAATATTTGTAAAACCTTTTCCAAGCGACATTAATCTCAATGAGCCGCAGTTGTGCCGATAGAAACTGCAAAAATGAATGAAAGAGGGAAAAAACCAAGAAGCACGCAATCTTCAGATTTAACCCATTTGTACATCGATTTTTTAGAGTCAATAACGTCAAATGTTGAGCGTTTCACTGCGCGTACACCGTTTGTAGTGCATTTCGTGCAGCACAATAAAAGCACAAAATGTAAAAGAAAAAATTAAAGTTCTTTGGAAATCATTAAATTTGACACGGAACCACCAATATTTAAAAAACACACATTATATTATTATTCTTCTTTGATAAATTGATACATATTTTTCCACGTCAATTTAAATGAGAATAATCAATGCAGAGTGTGCTAACATTTCAAAATCATGAGTTAAAAAACGCTGACTATGCGAGTATAAATATTAAAGCCGAACAGAGCGGAGTGGCGTGCTGCCAGCGCGAGAGGCTCACGGGCGCCTACAAACCTAAGTGGATACTTCACTCATTGCACAATGCTTGAAGTATCCACTTAGGTTTGTAGGCGCCAATGCGCGTTTCGCGCTGGCCGCCCGCCCGCCGCGCGGCGGCGCCTGAAGCAACTATTTCACAACAGAGGTGTTGCACAGTATTATACGAAATTGAACGTATTAAGAATGACAGGCATCCTTAAAAAGTACAAATCTTTCCTCGCAAAATGAATCAAGATACTTATCGTACACAGGAAAGATCTAAGAGCCTTTAGCTGTGGCAGATATCTAGAGGTTTATCCGGTTCAGGTATAATAAGGTGGGAATTTCTTGAAAGACGATTAAGTCCTGTCACACCAAAGAGGGGTAGAGAGTGTTAGTAAATTTTGTCTCATGGAATTGACGCTCCCCCATTTTTACCAAAACTCTCAACTATATATTATTCTCCGTTGGACCAAATAGCCAAAACAAAAAAACAAGCAAACCCTCATTCTTCCAAGACATTATATATTTTCATCCAGGCCGGGGGGGGGGGTTGGGGGGGGGGGGCATGAGACCATGCCCCCTCCCCCCCCCTCCTGGATCCACAACTGACTCATGCCAGTGCATGGAGAAGTTAATTCTGCATAATTCATAAAACACCGTGCTTTGAGAGGAGTTCAAAGTTTGAGCGTAATTAATTACAAAAGGGAGGAAAACACAAATTACATTTTTGAAGCAATTTCTGCGGGAAACATTTCATACGGGATCAATATAAAGGAATTTTTACTCAAAATATCTTCAATATTTTTCACTGATGAAAACTTATGGGTGCGTTAAAATTCATCGATATCTGTGGAGGGAAAAAGAAAAAAAATTAACCAATTAAAGTGGTTTCATTAAAGATATTCTACGTAATCGAAAACGCCTTATACCGCAAAGCTGAGCCATGTTGGCACTGGCCGCGGTCAGCCGGCCAGCGCGGAGCAAGACCGCAAGACCGTAATCATTATTGGAGTCCTGCTGACGTTGGTGATACACATTTTGTATGACAACGAATTGAAGGCGATTTAAGCGCGCTTTGATCCTGAGTTGTCGACGCAAGTATGCATCGCTCATGAGTTGTGCCAGAGAGAAGGTCTTGTGAGTTCTGTAGCTAGTCTGCTAGTCCTGAAATATGCTGTGTTAAAAACCTACACTCTCTTTTGCCCAGTCCAAGTTTTGATCCTTTCCTATTTTTATTTTTTGATGGATATCGTTCACGTGAGGTTGAGGCTCACTCTCAGTTTTTCTGGATAAGTAATGAATTCATCGGGGAGCTCGTAAGGTATATTCGAAAACTCACGGTTTATACGCAACATGCTTTAACTGGACAAGATAATGTTCACTTGAAGCTCGCCTTCAATTTCACCGGATAGGCAACAAATCTGCTGGAGAACGCGAATAGTCGTCTACCCGAAGAACAGACAATAAATCATTGCTCCTGAAGCGACATTACCTATTCTACTGTTATTTCGAATTTTCGAACCCGAGAATCCCTCAAAATTCGACTAGTTTAACCTTAATGATGTGGTTGGTTTAATTAAAACAGGAAATTTCGTCTTTTACGTGTAATCTACTAGAGTTATGAGGAAGCGCGCGTCAGTAAATGCGCAAAAATAGACCTAATCAAGGTACTCTAGTAATAAACAAAACAGCAGTAATTCTGTTGAGGACTTAGGTACAGCTGCTTAGCGTATATTTCGGCGGAAAACTCCATTCAGTACAATTATGAATAGATTTGTGAGGGGTTTAATTCATTTTCGTGCCGCTGGAGCGCGTAAGATGAGAAATTGCAACATTCCAATTAAAATCTCGGATATGTAGTGATGTTTCACGACTGAGAGCTTTCACTGTCATTTGCTCATTCGATCTGGCAACACTTACTACAAAATACTACGCGTAGTACTACAATGCGTACGAGACGAATTCTAGGCCGCTCATTGGTCCGTTCTGTTTTGAAGGTTCATTACTTCATTCATAAAATTGCATGGCGCGTGCCGCGTGGGCGCGTGCGCGTGCGCAGCACCCTGACAGCACGCGACGCGCGCAGCACCCTGACAGCACGCGACGCGCGCAGCCAAATTCTGGTTCATGATTGTTCAGTGATCTGAAAACTAAATAAATGGTGATGGTGATTCTTCCTCGATTACCTAGACGTAGGTTACTGTACTGATTTAAAATAACGTGTCAAAGCAGGAGTAACGTAATCAACAAGAGCACCAAGATTGGAATACCTAATCTGAATTTAAATGTTAGCTGAACATCTGAAGAACTGAAGGTGTCGAGTTGTTAACGCTTAACCTACGATAGTGTGAAATTCAGACTTGCCAAAGATGTTGATCATCGATCAAACGTAAGTACCTAAAAGTAGGTATTGTCCATGAAAATTAGTCCAACAAGTTAGCGAGAAAAACGGTTGCTTCTTACCTCTTGGTGTGGGCTCAGGCTCAGACGCTGAATGTTGTTGCATCACGTGAAAACCCTATTAATAGTGTAGTGTTGCACCTTCGAGGTGAGTTTCTTGCTCACGAAATATAATTCTACTAAGTCCGTGTTGCGGAAAAAATCGCACGCAGAAAGTTGAGCACAACCGAAAGCACATGTACCGCGTCTGGGTGATCAGGGTTGCCAGGTTTGCTCAGGTGTCTGGAAACCTAACCTACAAACGTAAACAAACATTCAAACAATCTTGAGGATACTGATCTTGCTTCTTTCTTGCTGCTTCTTGTTTCAAGCATTTGGTTTTTTTCTCATGTCTTATGTAAGTACGTCTCTCGAGCTTGCTTCTCTCTCTTGATTTTTCAATCTTGACCTCTCCAAAGATGCATATCAGCCTTTAAACCCTCTCCAGAAGAGAGCATGGCATGGCATGGCTAGAAACTGTTTGGGAATGTTTCTAACAAAACTACAGAAACATTGTTAGACCTCTTTGAATCCTCCGCAACCGAAACGATTTTCGCTTAACAAGGAAGTATCCCTTCAAACCCAAGAATCTTAATGAGGGATCGTCCATCATATCCTCCTCCATAGTCCAACACTACGGTCAGCCAACACCTGTCCTTATTGGGTTGGAAAAATGTAGTATCTCTCATTATTACTGCCAGTGCAGTGATCGAAAGCAAAGCAAACCTAGAATATCATCAATACTGAGTCACACATTTATACTCCAAATTGTATGGTAACCTCCCTTTCAAATGTCGTTTATCTAAGTATCTGCAGAACCACAAGGTATGTCAAAATACTAATGATTGAAGGTTGAAGATGTGCATCTTTATTGCAACAGCTTATAATCTCCAATGGGCCTCTCAGGCAAAGTGTGGACTAAAGCACTTTGCAACATGATTTTTCATCAAACTTTCATGAGGGAAACGAATTGCACAGTGCAACGGCCAGGAATCAATTCCTAAACAAGGTATTCATTTTTAAAATGATCGTTGGTAAAAGGAAATAAGTAAAAATGACAGCATTTGTATAATTTAATGTCCATTTGATCCTTGTTTAAAGTAATTCCTTAAATATCTTTCAGGAGTTGATTTTGCAGCTTTCTGTTGTGTGGGTCGCTTTCTACACTAGATTTTGAAGAGGAAACATGTGATTTTTTTCTATTTCAGGCAGTCTAGTGGCCCAATGCAGAGCTGATGCTTTAGCCCTGCAAACTCCCAGAATTTGTGCCATATAAACAGGTGGACTTAAACCATGAGATACAAGATTTGTCACATAGCCTGTTGTGCGTTGAAAAAATTTGGAAAACTATAATGCCATTCTTTGTTCACCAGTTTTCAGAATTCTGCAATGGGCGGTGATCAGACCTGTTACTCTGAATGTAGGAAGTTGGTAGAAAACTTAGTGAATGACATTAGCAGTGGATTGGATGGAATCGAAACTGAAGTATTGCCAAAGATATCGCTGTTGAAGAAAAGCATTGGTGTGTTGATAGACCAGTCAGTATCTGTTAGCCGGTATGTACACTATTACGTCCTTTTGCATCTAGATTATCCTGCGAAGCTCCTCCACCGTAGAAACACATTCATGATACAAACCATTCAATTTAATTACAGTAAGCTATAGTTCTTGGACAGGGGGTCAGAGCTATTTATGTATCAGCATGAGCCTCTATAGCTTATCAAAATTATTTTTACCAAAGAATAACATGAGATCGAAAAATTTCCTCCAACAATTTGTGAGTGAAATTGTTTTTTCTGATTGAAAACATGTCCAGATGACCAATTCCTCCAGAGAGACCTAAAATTTCCCAGAGATCATGAAGTAATAAGAAACCTGTCAAAACATGTTTTTTCGGAAGGTGCTGAATGGTGTACCTGCTGTTGAGAGTTTTGCTTACTTACAATTAGAATGGTCTTTTCTCATGTTGAGTATTTATATATACTTACATTTAAGTAATCAAATCTGTGAAAAAGGGTCTTATCTTCCAGGAGAAAATTTTCCTTAACTTTTTTCAAATGCATGAAAGAACAAAATCCAGAAATTTGAATGCAAGTTTGACTCTGAAAGCTTAAAAATTGAAGAACATATGACTTCTGAAGTTCCAAAACAAAAAATCCTAAGTTGTAGAAAAACATTGTTTCAGCTCATGCAAAAAGTCGAGGAAAATTTGTATGCGCACGATAAGGCCCATTTTCAGATATACAGTCACATCTCATCAACCGGTCATCTTAACCATGTCTAGTAGTATTCTGTTTCTGATTTTTTTTTTTTTTTTTTGCAGGGCTCATATTTACAAAGATTTTCTCAGTGAGTTTGCTGATGTTGATATCAAAACACGCGTCCAAACCAAAATCTTCAATGCCCTCGAGGAAGAAATTTCTAAATTGAAGCTTTTAGTGTAAGGAGCCTTCATTATATTTTAAAAGTTACCATTATGTAATAATCTAATCATTTCTGTAAGCTTTTTACTCTCCTTAAATTCCAGGGTTTCCACCGTATGGAAGCAGGAAAAATACGTTGCTTTTCCGTGACAATGTGCTGACATACAGAATTCTAGTGATAAGCATCAAGAAATAGGTGGTTTGCAATTTCTCAACATTGTCAGCTTTATATTATTTGTGCAGCTTCGTCTCTGGTGTTTCCAGGGCTGCAAAACTTCCGCGATCATACAACCAATTCAGTTACGATGGGTTGAAATATAAATGTGAAGGCTGCAAAAAGAGTTTTCAAAATGTGATGGCAGCGCTACTTTTTGTGATTAAAACTAGTTAACTCATTGTTTGTTTCAGAATCTGACAGAAAATCGTTATGGTCACTAGGAAAGAATACTGAATTAAGTGTTGTTTCAATGCCTGTTCAATTTTTACTTTGTTTTTGATTCTAGGAATGATCAGGATATGAAACTAATGAAGTGCAGGTCAGCAATGGTCCCACTGGAAACATTCACCTTAAGTCTAAAAGAATCTCATGTAAATTTGCTCAACGCCGTGGAGATGACAAAAGACTGTTCACAGATTTTTACCTACTTGTATCCTTTTTATCTATTCTATAATATTAGGCTGCGAAGCAACTTAATCAATCCTTTTCATAAGGAAGTATGTCTATAAATCTGAAAATGGCTCATTTTATGGTACAAATGGGAAAATGATTGATTTTTTAAAAATGTCGCATGTGCTGTGCAGTTTAGGTTAATAGCACACAAGAAAAAAATCATGGAGGTTAAATGTTTTTTCTGAAATCATGCAAAAACAAAAAACTATGCCAAAAGTGAGGTGAATATGGACTATATTGTTTCTAAAATTCTGTACGAAGAGATATGAAAAAAAAAAACAATCTGACAGGGTTCCCTTATTTCATGCAACTGGTTGAGTTGCATGATCAGAATGTTTCTGCATATCTGCTTTAGTTCCTATTTGATTTACCTAATATTAAACATTACAACCTTAACTTATAATCAGATGTATAAAGCTGCAAATTGCAACCGCGTGCATTAAATATGAAGATATTTCCTCTTTAAATAAGTTGACCAATTTTCCAAATGACATTAGAAATGCGAAAAAAACTATTCTTGGTGAGTTGATTCATCACATCCTTTCATCATAAATAAATCAATTTTTATAATTGTTGTAGATTTAACAAGGGGAACTTCCTTAGCTACCAACTGAGTGGAGCTGACATTTTTCTCATGGTCTCTTTCGATTAATTCATTGTTAACATGTAATTTTTTTTCTTTTCCAATGATTTGGATTTTGAATATGCGTCAGACATTTAGGTACGCTTCGCTTACAAGGTGTAGTAGTTAGGGCCCGACTCTGTGTATGGTCGTGGTACCTCACTGAATCCGTAGTATCTTAATTTCTACGGTCAGTAGCAAAATGATGTTATGTGAGGTGCTTGAGGTGGCCCTAGAAAGGGCTGTGAAATAATCTAGCCAACTGGCAGCGATGAATTCTGCATGTGTAAGGCTCGTCTGATGGACAAGAGGTATACATTTAATTTTTTGACAAAAATCCGACGGATTCCCCTGTTTGATTGCGATATTATTCATGATAACTAGTCATTCTTCAAAAAAGTAAAATGTAATTGGGAGTCTGCAGTGTTGCAAACCAAGATTTGCGGTTTTGGAGTTTTACCAACTATGTGTCACTTACTAATTCTAGATAAGGGAACTTCCTCTCTCATCACATAGTGTATTATTTGTCAAAACATTTTTCAAATTCTTGATTTTTTTTGTAATTCTCATTTCAGAAAAGAAGAAAGCCATTGCAGATCTCTTGCTGCTTCCTATGAATGAGGAAGAAATAAAATTAGTCACTGTTGGAAACTGAAATGTAGCACACCTAACGGCACAACAGAGTGAATGAACACTTTAATTCAAAGTACTTTTTCAAGTATCTTTCTTTCTCTTTATTGTTGTTAGAAGAGATGGAGGAATCCAAAACATAAGGGCGGAGGTGGCCTCTGTTTTGGCTAGTATGAAACCTTGCTACTAACTTATGCAGTTGATTTATGCTGTCAGTTTCTCCATGGTGAACATAGGTACACAAAAATCTTTTGATCTCTTATCGTCATGGATGAATTCTGGACTTGGAATTTGTCAACTCTCAATGAACATTCACACTTTGTAACAATTTCGGGTTTCAAAATTGAAACTTACACTCATTTAGTGAAGGAAAAGGAACTGAATTGTTTTTCAATCGCTATTGGTTTCAATTTACGGTGGGGTCCACCAGCACCTGTAGTCACTATTGCCTTAAATGAGGTGATATATCTCTAAGTAAAATTAGAACCATTGGACGCTGCTTTGCCTCAAATTGCATGTGCCGTCCTCTACAAATGAGACTGGAACCTCTAAGGCTCCTTGACTGATACATTTTTTGAGTTCAATTGAAAAAGAGATCGATTTTTTTCATATTTGGTTTTTTATTTTAGCTCAGTTTTGCTGGGCTTGTCTTTTTTCTACCACCTATTTTTTCTTATTTTTTGTTCTATTCTGCACATAAAACTATCGCAAAATGGGATCTAAAAGATTCTTTCTGTAGACCCTATATCTTTGTGCGATATTGATGAGTGTAATGAGACACCAGGTAGGATACACCTTTGAACTCCCTCAGTACATTCATCCTTATCTGATTACTTGGTGAGTAGCCATTTGATTATTTTTACTCTTCATTTTTTTTAAATTGTTTTCAAAGTTGTATTTAAATGAGATTTATTACATTCAATTAAATGTAAGAAAGTAAGAGAGAATTTTGTTTACTTTGCAATAATTTTTATTTATTGTCCTCATACATTTTAATTTAAATACGTAGAACCCATAATATTATGTATTGCATCCTGGCTCTACTTGTGGCCAATTATTACCTGTGATACTTTGAAGAAAGTTATTTTTGAAAAATATGAAACGAATTAATAAATAATGCTCTTTAACTTAATTATTGTATTTCTGCTTATTATTTTGCCAATTTTACTTTAATTTACCTTAATATTTTTTTTCTTATTTTACTCATTTTGAACCAATTAGAAATAACAATAAGACTAACTTTCCAAACACAAATTTGAAAGGAAAATGAAGTAAGGCTATGCAAAAAATTCATACATTTGATCGCAAGAATATGGTTATTCATTAATTGCTAGAAACAAGTAATAAACGTTCACTAATTCTTTTGATGGTAGGTACTTAACATTAATTATGTACCGATGGTGAAACTACATGAACAAGCATCGCATTTTTGGTGTTTCAAAATCTCTATTTTCGTTTTATTTCATTGAAAGAGAACAAACCAATGCTATCACCTGAAATTTTACAAATTTAAGATCTTTCCTCAGATTTTTCTTCTTATACAAAGGAAAAATCGCGAAAGGTTTCGAGGAACAGCATTGAGTATTTTTCTATTTCAAATGTAAAATGTGATAGTGTCCACATTGACGCAAATGAAGGTACGCTTTCCTTCAGGTTCAACAGCAATACTTACCAGATTCTTTATCAAAGAATCATATAGAAAATTTTGACAAAGTTAGGAATTTTTTTTTCCAAAAAATTCTGCTCTCCTAAGCGTAACCAAGGAAAAGAGGGTGTCTCTAAGTTTCAAGTAATGTTGTCCTTTGACTCAAGGCCTCCCGCCCAAGGGGAGGGCTCAATTTTTTTTTCTCGGCAGGTAAATATTTGATTTGATAAATGTATTTTTTATAATAAAAAATACATTTATCGGGTCAAACATACCCTCCAAGAAGGAATTTTGTCGTATCACATGGCATGAAATGAATTTGAAATATGAAACACCTATTGCATCTCTCAACAATAACAATTCTAATGGAGTCCCCCCTCAATAACTGGGGTACCCCTTTTAGCTCACTTTACTTTATCGGCATCCCAGCTCATCGGTCTTGCTCGGGTTTAAATTATTATTGGCATTAATGGGGTCAGCTCTCGATGCAAATGTGCGGCCATGAATCTCAATAAAAATACCACCTCTGTGCATATCAATCTTTGCCGCTCATATTATGGGAGGTAGGAGGTAGCTCTGAACAATGAACCACGAGCACTTTGATCGCTAACGATCGTTAATTCATTGCGCAACTTTGCTGCCCAGAAAACGAATGATGATTTTAACGGAGTTTGAACTTTGGAGCCTTTTTCAAACCGACCAATCACAGCTTTAGCCGCTGTTGACCGTTTCTAGTTCGCGTTTTTTGTTGACAAGCGGCGGGACGCCGATGATGCGCCTGTGTGTGTATGTAAAATTTGAGTGATATGAGTTAGTGTGTGTGTGCCGAGATAGTTCATGGTGACAAACGGGTGTGGAAATCGCTAAATAATTTTGGTTTTTGTGTCTTTCAGTTGTATTTTAGTTTTGAATTATTAAGTTAAGTACAAAATGGGGTGTGCTTTAAGTTCATCGAGGGAAAAAGAGGCCGTTGAGCGGTCCAAAAAAATCGACAAGGACCTGAGAGCGGATGGAGAAAAGGCAGCTAGAGAAGTGAAGTTACTTCTATTAGGTAATTGATGCCATAAATTGAATTACTAGTTGTAAATTAATGGAGATATTATGTATCTAGCTAATTCTGGTACTCGCCTCTGACGAATTGAATGCGGTATCTTCCAATATTCTTAAATATACAGATTTTACTAACTTACCGTCCTGCAGTTTGGAGGTTTGTACCGGAACAATCTAACATCTCCAATGAATGAAACTCTTAATCAAATCATGATTGTTTCCAATGTTTGGTGCTATGAACTGTAACTCCCTTTGTCGAGTATTGTAAATTCGGTCACTAATTGGTCTAAGTATAGTGTACATTGGATATCAGTTAATCTATCAGGTTATAGACCTTGAAACATTCAATTGGAGGTATGTTTACAAATTAGCCTCTGACCTTTTTCGGTATATCATCCTCAGGTGTGAAAGCTCTCTGCTTACTATTTCGACCTTTACATCATCATCAACCTGGTTTCAATTCTACATAGTCGGATACAAATCCTTGTGAGTGGTTGCATTTGAAGCAACTCGTATTGTAAGCCTAGAAACCTATGCTGAGTTGCATTCAAGATTGTACATGCCCATGATTTTAAGAACTGGTTTTTTTCTCACCCTAAGACCTAAAGACGGAGCGCTAGGAGAATAAATTGAAGCCACCTCTCCAATTGGTTAGAAGATAGGTGGCAAAATTGGGAGAGATTTGAAATTCATATAAAGAGCGGTAGCGGAATATAAATGCGTAAACAAAGTATTCCAGGTTGAATTTTGCTCAAATTCACTTCCCCTTACACCTTATAACTTCAGATTATTTTTGGTCCGTCATCGACCGATCAATCTCATTTAGGAGTAATGACCATCTGGGACTGTAACTGCCTGTTTGGACCGGCGGGACCACCTGGGGCAACAGAAAAACTAAGTAACTTTATTAAGATCCTTGCTTATTTCTGAGCCGAAGTAGGTTTATTTTCTAATGTCACCGTTCCAACGTCACCGATATGCTCGTTTTAGGCATTTAAAACAAGTTTAGAGCATGAAATGTGCAAAAATCACTAGAACAAGTTCAAATCAAACCTCCATTTGCTGCCATGGATTTGCAAGCTTATTTGCACAATCACAGAGCGCCAAGGTGGCTTCGCTTCTCCCCAAAGTTATTAGATACGAGTGCTCCATCTTTATATCTTTGTTCTCACCTCTCAATTTTTGTAATATTACAAGTAAGATGATGAGCAACGGCTCAACGTGAAACAATTAAGAACCATACATAAAACATGCAATGCTACAAGTAGGGTGCAGGGAGATTGAGGAGAGCATTACGTAACTTTGTTTTCATGGGTTTAAGGATAAGGACCTACGTCCTATGAGCGATCCAAGAAGGAAGGGAGGTCGAAAAATCCAAAATTTAGAGTCGCATATTTATTCCATGAACAGCCCCAAAATTTTCTGAACTTGAATCATTACATGTAACTTTGATTTAGATTGATTTTTTACTTAAATCTGTACCTCAAATTGAACTTCCAGTACTTTGAGGTTACTCTCTCTGTATGGAATTTCAAAAGATGATCCGTTATTGATTTTTTAATGGATAATACTTTTTTACTGATTTTACTGTAGACTTTCCCTTTCAAAAAACTATTGCTCCTCAAGAAATGTCCACAGAAAAATGAGTAAAAAAGGTTTCATTAAAAAATCAGTAAGTGGTGCCGATTAAGTCAGATCTTCATTTAATTGAGATCCTCAATGTGCCAAAAATCAAATTTGTAAATAAACCTACCCCTACTGTTATGCATAACATAGTTTTTTAGAGAAATCAATGGCTATTTTTCAACAGGGGCTGGCGAATCTGGTAAAAGCACAATCGTAAAGCAGATGAAAATCATTCATGAAACAGGATATTCAAAAGAAGAATGTGAGCAGTACAGACCAGTTGTCTTCAGTAATACAATTCAGAGTTTGATGGCCATTATTCGAGCCATGGGTCAGCTCAGAATTGATTTTGCTGATCCTGGAAAGGCTGTAAGTTACTTAATTCTTTATTATTCTTTGTCTCTCTGCATATTAACAATGAAACTACAGGAATGTACATCTTTGTTTGCGGCATCGCAGACTTCCTTTCCCACTTTATTCTTTAAGTGGAGTTTGCACATGTGTACATCATTTCCTAAAAACTTCCGAATTTTCCTTCCCTGCAAGAAAAATATTCTGTGAAAATTTCTATCAATACTGTTGAGTTCTTCATTTTTGACAATGTAAAGTAAGACCTGAATTTTAAAATATTGCAAACGAGAAATACGTTTCTGGAGTCTCACTGTAGAATTTTCTCTCCAAGGATCTGTACAAGGCAATTTCAGAGACCCTCCACAAAATTCTTAGAGGCTTGAAGAAAGCCAGACACTCTCGGAGACTTAGTGGCTCCTAGTACGTACCGATGAAATTTTCATAGTTCCACATAAAGTTCATCATCAGCACAAAGCAAAAAATTGAACAATTTGGCGATGTAGTAGCCAAAATATTCGTGATTGCCGGACCTCTGATACATTTAGGTGCATATAGGCTCTGCCGGTACAAACACTGTACCCTTTTCTTCCCCACGGATGTTTTGCATCTGCCTCAGATTTGACTGGCGCGGTAAGGAGCTTGTCTTTAACTCTCTACCTTGAAATGAAAGGAGTTGCTCTGCACTGTATGCATGCTTTTCTCAATCCTCTGCCCTGTCATCTTTACTGATTTAGCCTCTGCACTTTCTCCTCAATATGCGTTTTAAATCGCGAATATCTCGGCTCCTACATTGCCCAATTTTTTGGCTTTGTGCTAATGTTGAACATGTGTAACCTATCAAAGGTCCATCAAGATCTACTAGGGGCCACTGAGCCCCTTTGGATGTGCAGGGTTCTGTTATACATAGGATTGCCACAGTCAGGGAAAACTGAGAAATATCAGGGAATTTTAAAAAGTTAGGGAAAACAGGGAAATGTCAGGAAAAATGTGTGAAATCACCTTTGTTTGCTTGTTAGAGTTGGTTTGAGGTTTGAACAACAAATTTTATCCAAAAACTGTTTTAAATTATGTCCTCTGAACCATCTTTCATATCTTCAGATGTCAGGAAATTCACCAAAACAGGTCAGGGAAATGTCAGGGAATTTCATTTTCCAAATTCTGTGGCAACCCTGTATACAGCATTCACCGGAGGTCCCTCAGTCCTAAATAAACTGATCACACATTGAGAGAAGCACTCAAATTTTATAGATACAGCAAATTATTGAAGTTACTTTTGAGCTCATTGAGATGAACCTTGATAATAATCCACTAATGCATACAACTGCCGATCAATTTTCGGAAGCTCAACGTAACCTAAGCTTAAATTCCTAATTGTGTTATTAAGTTCTGTCTCTCTCTTTGCAGGATACAGCACGACAGTTTTTCACTCTGGCCAGTGCTGCAGAGGAAGGAGAAATCACACCGGAGTTAGTCGCAATTATGAAATCTCTGTGGCAAGACCCCGGTGTTCAGCTTTGTTTTTCCCGGTCACGAGAATACCAGCTCAATGACTCTGCTGCATACTATCTCAATGCACTTGACAGAATCTCAATGCCCAACTATGTTCCAACCCAACAAGATGTTCTACACACTCGAGTTAAAACAACTGGAATTATTGAAACACATTTCACCTTCAAAGGGCTACATTTTAAGTGAGTTGTAACCTAATTGTATCATGCAAAGTGTAAAAAAAGCTGTGGGTACAATACCATGTGATATATGCGGAATTCTAACATGTTGATGGACCCAGTGACTGAACCATCATTTTTATAAGTATGATGAAAAATGTTACTTTCGGAAACTAATTAGTTATATTCACTTTTAATGGTGTACTAGTCACAAACCATGCATTTTTAATTTGGTTTAAGTAGGACCTGATGGCATCAAGATGAAAATCAGTAATCAACCAAAAATCAGCTACTATTGAGAAAGATTTTTGACAGGAAAGAGTTCTCAACAAAGGTTTTTTTTTAGTTTTTTCTTTTCAATGACAATTAGTAATTTTTGTTTTAATTTTTCCTTTTAGGATGTTTGATGTTGGTGGTCAGCGTTCTGAGCGGAAAAAATGGATTCATTGCTTTGAAGGCGTTACTGCCATCATTTTCTGTGTTGCATTATCAGGTAATTTTAACAGACTTAATATGGACACATGTAAAACTGATGATTATTGCTAACTCTGCATCATTAGGGAAGAGAAATTATGGCGAGGCTGTCTCTGATTTTCATAACTAAAAATTGAAATGAAAGCTTCAGTACAACTGAAAAGCTTCCGCTCGTATTTTTTTCTGCAAGTGAGGAAGGGTGCAAATAGCAGGCCTCCACAATTCTCCAAAGGGCTTCCCTCACTTTTCTGAAATGCACTAGGTTTTTGCAAAAATGTCAGCATGAAAAGCTAATTAATAATTGGTTAAATTTTTTGATTAATATGGGAATTTTATTCAGATATTTCTACAAATCATCGAATTGTATTGTTCACCAGGAGATCACCTGGTGGTCACCTTTGATGAAGTTTAGATAATGGTAAAGGAATTTTGACTCATGGTATATAATTTAAAAAATTTATATAATTTAAAATAAATGGTATATAATTTAAAATAATTTAAAAAATTTAGGAAAAAATTTAGTCATTTTTATTATTTCTTCCCGCTTGAAATAATTTTTTCATCCATCCGTTCAGAATTATCTCCCCTCAAATACTTAATGTAGACAAGGAAGCGAGGCAATGTTGGTCTGAGGCTGGGTGAGTATCGTGTCTTTTTCACCATTTATCCATCATTTAACAAGCTTTCCCCTATTAAGATGTTTTAGAGTATGTCACCTGGAGATGAGAGGATTTACCAGAATGGACAGCTGTACAGTAGATACTAATTAAATCATATCTATCATAATGAAGCAACGTTTATTTACATTTATTTATTTATTTTTTTAAAATAATAATCTGTTTGTTTTTTATGTAGGTTATGATCTAGTTCTGGCAGAGGACGAAGAAATGAACAGGATGATAGAATCAATGAAACTTTTTGACTCAATCTGCAACAGTAAATGGTTTGTGGAAACATCCATTATTCTTTTCTTGAACAAGAAGGATCTCTTCGAAGAAAAGATCTCAAAAAGCCCTCTCACCATTTGCTTCCCAGAATATCAAGGTGAGTTGTTTTGACATCATATTCACCGTCTCATGAAACCTTTAAAAATTGATTTGAGGTGGTAAAAAAAAAAAAATTTAGGAACAAAAAAAAGTAGCCAATTGACTAAGCCAACAACAATAGTTTGCTGTAATTACTTTTATTTCATAGCAAATGATTGATCGTGCTGAAACGCAGTAGCAGGATGGCAGTTTCAGAAGGGTAGCAGAACCCCTATCTCTAATGCAAGTTCTGCGAAGCAATTTTGCTACAAAGAGAGAACATACCAGTGGCAAAGTAGGGTAGGTGGGGGTAAAAGGCTGAACTTTTCTGTTGCAGCCGTCTGTCGGCTGCCGTATCGCGTGAAAATTTCGGAAATGCGGTAAAATATCAACTATAGACCCCTAGGCACAAAATGACACACTTTCCAGAATTTTAAAACCATTTCCAAAGTTTTTACGATTTTTATAAAAAAAACGTCGGAAATGCTTTTAAAATTCGGAAAAGTGTGCTATCTTGTGCCTAAGGGTCTATAGTTGATATTTTACCAAATTTCCGAAATTTTCACGTGATACGGCGGTCGTCTGCCGCAACAGGAAAGTGTGGTCTTTTGCCCCCACCTACCCTACATTTTAGGATCTTTGGTAATTGCTAATAATATTTTGTTAAATATGTAGCAAAAGATTTAGTATTCGTAGTATTGGTTTTTAGATTAAGTATCAGTGGTATTTTAGTTAAGGCCGCATTCTGCCTCTTGCCCCTTCGGACCTGCGGCTTTTTGCCCCATTCTATGATGTAGGTAAATAAAACCTCAAAATTGAAAGCCAAGGCCATTAGCCCCAAAGTGACTGCGGGATATTCAAACCATTCTTATCATTGTTTGAACTGCAGCTCGTTCAAATTTCTCTATCAACTACAGAACTTGAAATTTGCCTAAGTAAAACTGGAAAAATCGATTTTTTTTCACGAAAAATTAACTCTCCTCATATTTTGAGGGAACGCGTCCGTTTGGTCCGACACTTTGTCAACACAACAACACCACCACTACCATCGTAACTGACACGATCTGGGAACCAACCTAAACAATCCTTGGAAAAAAACCGGGGTGCGGCTTTTTGCCCCCACCTACCCTATGGCCAATCAGGAGCAGCCACATCTCACTTTCGTGCGGTTTTTTATTTAGTTTTTCTCATTTTCTTTTTCATTCTCTCCCCCCCCCCCTCCAACAAAGGTGTATCATACATTTTTGAAATTTTGATTATTACATCATGCTAGACCATGCCCCCCGCCTCCCTAAATAACTAACTGGAATTTCAAGGAATTTGATCCGAGATCAAAACTCAACCTTTTTGTCACAACCACGCTTTTCCATGTGATATATTTGATAGACTTTGTGTAAAGAAATTGTACCATTGGAACATTGTTTCCTAATCTAATTTTTCTTTCCTCTGTCATTCCTTTAATTTGTATTTTGTCACTTTGCTTCAGGTTCCAATACTTATGAAGAAGCAGCAGCTTACATTCAAATGAAATTCGAGAATCTGAACAAACGGAAAGATCAAAAGGAAATTTACACGCACTTCACATGTGCGACCGATACGAACAATATTCAGTTTGTTTTTGATGCAGTGACTGATGTAATCATCAAGAACAATCTCAAGGACTGCGGCCTATTCTAATATGCTGCTCTTAGGTACAAAGTATCCTGATCCGTTTTCGGTGTCTCAATCACTGGACCTCTGATGGTAGGTTCGGTAAAATGCCTCGCTTTATGCCATACTCCATGTGAAATCCTGGTCCATCAAATTAATTTATTAACTTTTTAATCTGTAAATAGGCCTTTGGTCCGCGGTTCCCAGCTAAACCTGAAACTGATCGTTTCAAGTTCCTTCTCTGGATCCCGATTTTTTTTTTAATTTTTGGGACCTTGGTTTTATGTACATTGAAGTTTTATGTCATAGGTTTATTTTATAATTCATTAGTTCTAAATTTTTACTGGCCTAAACAGATGACGCATTGATCGCAAAAACTACAGGTTACTCATTATTTCAAATGAGGATAATGCATGAGAAACTGCTAGATCCACATCAGATCCCTATAGATGAGTGCAGATTTCTCTAAATATCAGAAAATCGTAGGAAATACGTAAGTACCATTTTTAAGGGGGAGGGGGGGGGATGGTATCCCAGAAAATTACTGCTTTTCAAGGAAGGGTTTTGGACCACATTGTGCTCTCATTTTTAGTTCACCATCAGCACCTGATTGAATGCAACTGACCTAATTGGTAACTTTGTGGTCTTGTATGTTCCATGATGGGGCATGTAAAGATTGTAAATATTGCTGGGAACCCTTATCCAAGGAATTAGCTCATTTTTCTTTTCTCTCTCTCTCTCTTTTTTTTTTCGCAAATTATCTCTCATTGATTCTTGACCATCCATGAAATAAGGGATCTCAGTCCACAGATGCAAACTTTTTAGTACGGCGATTTTACCTAGTCAGGTGCAGAAGGCAAATTAATCATCGCATGCGAACGGGTTAAGTTCATTTTTTGTAAACGGAGCGGGCATTAAATTGTATTATAATCTGGTTTTTTTGTATCTTGAACATAATAGGTTAGAATCATGAAGAACTTTTTTTCAGAAATGCGTTTTTTGAAGTGGAAACCCTTAGCCTCTACAACTTGAGTTTGGTTTGACATCTTTTTTTCCTATATTTTCACTGAATGATTTTAAAAAATTGCTCAATTTGGAGTTTTTGTGGACTGAGGTTCTTCTTTCTGTGGACTGTCACACTTGTCTTTTTGGGTGTTTTATTTTCATACTTCTCTTTCTGTATAGTAATTCAGACATTCTGACTGTTCTGTCACATTCCGCCTCTTTAGATTCATTGCATCAATTAATCAGTACCTGAATGAATTCAATTGCAGAATACAGTACCTCAAAACATTCTGTCAAAAACAAACATATTTTTTTACATCATTTCAGGACGAATAAATGATTTTTATGGCTCTATTCAAATTTTAACTTTAGTCAAACTGTAAGTTAAGTCTCGGCTGGTCCGAGTATTCAAGAATTGGATTTATTTTCTACTTTCCATTACCATTTACTAAGAGCTATTCAGGGTTTTTTCTTCCTTCTCATTTTTTTCCTACCTTAGCAAGAATTCATAAAATTTGCAGATTTTATCCTATTGAATTTCCTGTAGGACTACGTAGCAACTGAAAAACAAGGAGTTTCCTCTCTTTGTTTTTTTAAAGGGTTCACATCCCTCGTTAATATATTTCCTCTATTATTTACCTTTCTCAAATTCATCAAGTATTGAAATCTTTCCCTCACTTTTCTTTAGAATTGTTACATTGGAATTTATCAAAGAGGAGTGTAAATTTTATTTCATCTGTAATATTTGCATATCAATTTTTAGTCCACTGACAAAGTCGTCTTAAATTTTCAATGAAATCCGTACCAATATGTAGTAAATTTTATTGAGAAAAGCTGGTTAATAGTTATGATGAGTTCTTTACTATAATAATAGAGTAACAGAGCTTGTAGCAAGCATTCAAAGAAAATGTAAGAAACTTTAGAAAACGCTCTGATCAACTATAAAATTGTTGCTATCAATTACAACTGAAGACACTTACTGTTCTGTGAATTTTTAATTTTTGTGTTTAAAAGTTCGATCTTCCATTGCATTTTATTTTTTTGAACATTTTTATTTAAAGGAAGCCTGCAAATTCCATTAAAATCAATTTGAATAGAATGATCTTCTGCACAAATAACTCAGGTTTATCCTAAGCTTGTCAGTGAGATTGTTGAAAACACTGTTTTGGTCTCACGGAGCTATGTTATTTTAAATAGTCATAATTTTTCGGGGCATCTCTGAGGGAGCAAATTACTTAGGATAAAATTCGGAACAAAATTTTCAATGCTAACAAGTTAATTAAGTAAAAAGTTTTACCTCAGCAGTATTCTTAACTGTTCCATTTCATCGCTAGTGAATTCACAGTTTTTATATTGTTATTTTTTATGAAATCTATTTTTATAATTTCAATGTTGTATCTTTGTCATGCTCTATTCTATGTGCCTTTTGCTTTTTCTAACTTGAGTAAAATTTCTGTCCAGCTAACTTTCTGATTGAATACTTCAATGTTTTATTTATTTATTTATTTATTTTTTTTTTTTTTGTACTTTTTCTACTTAAAATCAATTTTTATTTTGCAAATTTTCCAACTATCGTAATTTGTAAGCTCTCTTTCTAGAGCACCCTAGCATGACTAAACAAATACTCAATTATTTCTCAATGGATAGCTTTCAACGTCCTGTTCTCTTTTCTTCTTCCATCTTTTCATTAAAATGCATCCAGTGGTAGACTGACCCCCAGAGCATTACCGGAACTAGGCATCTCAACTAGGGCATGCAATAAGAAGAATGCCTCATATTCGACAGCATACAAATATTTATAACAATTATTGGCTGCGCAGGCCCCTGTGAAATTCTTCTTTTTGGATGAATATCCCTTGTTTTTGGAGTGAATTTGATGATAAGTCAGCCACTTATCCTAGCCAGTCTGCCTCTCAATGCATCTTAGATGTTTCATTTACAGCTAGCATTGTAAACTAAAAACTTCACCTCTAAAATCAAAAATCTGTGTCAAATGATATAGCGTCTGCTTGAAACATGTACTCAAATTCCAATATTGGTGTTTATTGCTAATTGTTGTAGATTATTCCGTGCACAATATCTGTTAGGTTTAGTTCTTGATGGAGATTTTTTTAAAAACACAATGGAACCTATCCACAAGGAAGCCAATATTCCAAGCTTAGTAGACTGTAAATAAACGGTTGAAAACATCAGTGACTCTTGCACTTTTACAAAGAAATATTTTAAATCTTGCTTTATGAGCAAGTATCGATTCTCATGGTCTAATATTCTGTCAATGAATTTGTCATGGTAATTTGTAAATATTATTGAGTTTACTCTAAGTAAAGTATTACTTTAGATGTGTTGGAAACAAAATCATGATTTAACTTTGCTTCATCTCCCTCTTGTGGCTTTCTAAAAATCACTTTCTTTTTTAAATTTTTTTTTTTCAAAGAATCTCTGAGAGGTTTTCTCTCTTATCATTTCGTTTCATCACTGTTCTCCAACAGAGTTTTTAAGTTTAGCTATCAAATTATATAGGAAAGCATAAGTTATAATCTTCCGGGCTTCCCAAGTCTTTGAGCATTCCTTTTCTACTGTACCTACTTCTGATAAATTTAGGTAGATGCCTATTCTTACCTTTTAAGTATCAAAAAATGTAAAAAATCAAACTCTTGAACAAAAATGCTTACTTTTTATTATTTTGGTGTCTGAATTTAATGTTGAAAGAATGAAATGATGAATGAAAATGATGTTCAAATAATTGTCTTTCTAAAAATATTTCTGTATTTTCTTAGTCTACCTTTGTTTAGTGTTCCTTCAAGGACTAAGAGATGGTAGGTTTACTTGTTATCCTGGAAGCTTCTAAACTCACACCAATTATGTTTGATTTTTCCAGTCATGCTTCTCTAGGGGTATGATTTTTACGTAAAATTTACAACTTCAAAGCGCCCAATATAGATACAGTTTGATCTTCTCATACTTATAATTAATCTGTAATTAAAGATGTAGAACATATGGAATTTTACAGCTCTGAACCAATACATTGATGGAGAAATCGCAGAAATACTTATATTGGTTTGCGTTCTAGAGTATGTTTCTCTCTGCCCCCACCCGCCTCCTTTAATCATTGAGAGCAAAATCCTCTCTTGAATGCACTCTTTCCCAGGTGCAAACGCTAGCTAGTAACAGAGAAAAGTTTTTACTGGATTTTTTTAGAAGAAAAATCTATTTTCGGGCTTTGCCTTTCTAGCAGAGTGTTTTCCCATTTTTGGGAGTTCTGTACAAATTAACTTGATGCTCTGTAAAAGTTGCCATTTTAAATCAAACTTATTGCAGTTTAGTAAATGTATGTATGTATGTGTTGTATGCTCTTGTAAATAATAGGCACAATTCTCTCATTCACTGTGCAGAAAAGTGAAATTTATCATTTTTCTTCATAGCTCTCAAGCATACGCTGACTCAGGTACGGCGTTATTTCTTCGAAGCATTTGTTCAATCGATTCTCCTTCCTGAAGTCTCAAACCGAAATTAGGACTTTGTCTTCTACTGCTCCAAAAGTACTTGATGTTGAAACATAGCGTTACTGACATCATATTCGTAACATTTCTTACAATTTTATGAAAAATCAACTTATTTTGTAGGCTTGAATTGTATTTAAATGCCAACCTTTCTCAGCATCGGTTAATAGAATGATAGGACCTTTCTTACTACTCTACTTATTTAACACTCAATTTTATTCACTGCCTATTGTCAAGAATGAAGTGTGGCACAGATCATTAATTCATTCCCCTAATTGCTTACTTGATTCAGATCCACAAAATTTCCGTTTCCTACGTATTGTATCTAAGAATGGTGTCATCCTGTGCCTTCTCTGTTTTATTATCTTCTTACTGTTACTCTGTAGAAATTCAAAGAGTGAAAATTGTGCTCAACAACTCGATACAAGTGAATCACAGTATGAGGTTGTGTCAGGAGCTGTACACATTTCCAGCAAGGTTCATAGTAAATTCGGTAAATATGTATGCGCCGTATCTTAATTGTTGTCCCTTGTTTTCATGCTATCATGTTTCAGCACAACATTTTGAGGATTTTGTCGTGATCAAACCTGTAAATACTTGATCATCCATTCCAGTTTAGATTGATCATCTATTGTAGCCTGCTACTTTAAATCCCTGCGCTTTTATGATGAAGAATGGCCATCTGAAGCCGGGGAATTCTGTGATTTGATGTTTCAGTCCAGTTTTTAAAATACCAAAATGTGTTGAATGGTTGTTATAATTGTTTTTACACAGCCAACGTTCATTGGAATGATGCATTGTTCTTAATTGACTTGATCGACAATGTTACTCAGTCCTAAAACTGCAGCTCAGTATTTGAGGGAAACCTTTTTTAAGACTATCAACTCTTTGGCCATATTATTATTAACATAAGTTGTATACACATCTGTGAATACTTTGCATCTTTCCAATATGTTCAGTGCCATTGTGTCTGGATTTTAGATAAAATATGTAACTCTTCTTTTAGCCCACTTACTTGGTACTGAATTCCTAATGTTAGAATTTTTTGTGTTTGTATGGTACAGAGATCAGAATAAGATTAACTTACACTCTTTTTTACCTTCAATATCTAAGAAGATAATTCGGATATGTGTATGATTAGCGGTAGGTAATTCCCTTCTCAACTACTCATTTCCCCTTCTTGTTGTCACTAAATATTTACTGCATCATGCTATCTCTAAATCCTTGGAAAAATCACTGGTACTGTGTAGATCAACCCCAGATGCTCTGAAATGTGAACAATGTTTTTTTTTTCTTCTGATTTTTTTTTCTCTCTCTCTTTTCCTTTTTTGTGTGTGTGTAAGAACTGACTGAACAGGCTGTTAAAAGTAATAGAAACATACTATTGTACACTCATATGTAGTCGGTCATTTGTGCCTTCTCTTAATGTAAAGCATCTAGATGACATAGTTCTGAGCAGCAAGTAACATTTTATGTTCTACCTACAAATCTGTAAAAAAGTAATCTGTTCTAGAAAGTAACTGATAAATGAAACTTTTGACAAGCACTGATTAAAGTAAAGTGTTGTCAATGTAATGTATATGACAACCTAACTCATCAAGTTTTCCCTCTAAACCTGATTAGCGAAATAATCAAGCATATTTTCCTTTTAATGGAGGACGAAGGGCAGTCTAAGCCAAGGAAGTTTTGTGCCTTGATTGATGGATGAAACCTGTCTCTATTCCTCTCTCACTTCATTAAAATCATATTTTTTTTTTTTGTTTGTTTGTATGATCAACTTGTTTAGATTGTCATTGTCATTATTGAAAAGAATCGATGAATTTCTTCTTCTGAGAAGAAGTTTATGAACTAATGTTTGAAAATTTCTTTATCTCCTAGCAATATTTTTTCATAGCAATTATCAATATTTTTGTTTAGCTTTAGCAAGGTATAGTAATGGACTGTTACTGTTGACATGGGGCTTTAAAGATCGTCCATTATATCAAGCATACATTCCATCAATGCAGAGGTAGACCCTCTGCATACCCTGCGATACCCTCTGAGATATTACCCTCTCTGTTGCCTCTGTTAATAATAATCAAAAGAATTTCAAACCAGAGTTAACTTTTTGAAAAGTTATTTTCATGTCAATGGTGTTTCTGTCATTTTTTCTCTCAAATGAACATGCATGTACGATCAAACCATCCTTTTTTTTCGTATATTAATATAATCCAGCATTGGACGAAGAGCAACTAAAAGTAATCGCCACCTGTAATTTTGCTGTGACCTCTAGGTTGCACATCTATAGATTACCTACGTTTAGCCTGACGCTACAGACTGACGCTATGCATACATGAGGCACTTCAAAGACGTACTAAAGTGGTCCAAAAGAGTATTATGTGTGTGATGTTTTTTTTTTGTTTTTTTTGGTTTTTTTTCAATTCCCACATGAATAATAACTCTTTTATCACTTGAAAAATTTGCTTTTTTAACTTGGAAAAAGGTTGAATTTTTCAAAATAATGGAAGAGAAAGTTGAACTCCTGAAAAAGCATGTGATCATTTTGAAATAAAAAAAAAATTAGAGAATTGGACTCGGTAAATTTTTACAAATTTTCATTGAATCTTGTCCCCTTTTTTCGGAGGGGGATGTTATATGTTGATCTAGAATAGAGCCACAATCATATTATTTCAGATGTTCCCCTGCAAAATTTCTGGTCTAAATCTGATGTAAGCACCCTAGAAGTTCTTGACTTACCAATAAAAGTTTGAATGCACCAGACCCACCTTTAATTGGTCAACATATTTGTTACTATTTAACTAATTCTGTGACTACCCATTCAGAACATCCCTCTCATTTGTCAAAAAATAATGAAATTCATATTAAATAGCTTCTGCAACTATTTGTAAATTATGCCCCACAAAGTCTGTGTTGTGTACTAAGAATCTCAGCCCAAAATATGTCAATTACTTGAATACCATAAGTGTTAGTCTCTAATTGAGTGTAAGGTTGTATATTCTCTTATTTTTAAACTGAAAGTGCAAAGAAAATTCTTAGAAAAATTTGGAATCGAAATCTTTTTGAAATCTTTTGAAAGTTCTGTCTTTTGTACCTAAAATTTCTTGATTAATTTTGAATTTTGTTTACAATGTTGGAAAGATTGGAATTATTTATTATCGACAACTGCAACAAATCTAAAATTTAGAGTGGAAGGTTTTCTAAATTCTCTGTGGACGTTTCAAATCTCCTCTTCTCAATCATATCATGAGAAAAAAAAAAACATTTGATACATTTTGCTTGTCTGTTCATGCTGCAAAAGTGCACAATTCCTTTACTTTCCACTGAAAGAGCTGCAAGTCGCACATTTAAGGGGCTTGGAGGACAAGGTGCATAAGTGTTGTTTTTGAAAAAATTGAGATACTAATAATTTCAAGTAAAACTAGTCTCAATACGGATTTTGTGAATAATTGGCTCCAAAATTCCAATTTTTAAGCATCGGAAAGTCAGTTTGAATTTTCTTTCCGCCATTAAGATCCATGTAATTTCGAAAGTTAGAAAATGCATTTCTTGAAATAGTACAAACTGCACTTATGCGCCTTGTCCACCAAGCCCTTCATTTAAGATTAAAAACTAGAAAATTTATGACCTTTGAATAAACTTTCTCACTTGCATGAATTATCCTGTCTCAATGGTTTTAGGTAAGTAAATTTTTCAATAACATAATTTATTTATTGTGTCTTCTTTTTCCAATGTTTATTTAATTGTAAGTCTGTTCAACGTTTTTGTTACTTGAATTTTATAATAAAAGTATTATTCTATTTTTATTACTTTTTGTTTCTGCTTTGATCCATGTGAGTTTTCCTCAAGCTTCCTTTACTAGCATATAATTTGGAGTCTACCAAAGAGTGGTCGTGCTATCTTTTTGAGAAAAGTTTAGGAACCATACTTTCAGCTGTTCCTAAAATCCCATATAGAATAAGATCTGGAAGCCTTTAATTTTTGTTTTGTTTTGTTTTCTTTTTAATTTAATTTGAGCCTCTAAATGCCACATTTTATAATCATATGATGAATTGTGCGACAGATTGCACGGAAATTGTTTTCGCTGTTGATGTACAAACATTTATTTGATTCAAAATTTAAATTACAGTGAGGAGAATTGGTTTTCAGAACGGTTTGAGTGTTTTTTTTTAATGCATTTTCTTTGAGAAATTAGTATAGTCTGAAAGAGTTAAAAACTTTGTATTTATGAAGTGACCTTTTTCTTTTCATTCATATTTTCAAAATTTTAACAGCTGTGCACAGTTGATAAGCCTTTACATTTTCAATTGCCACCACAAATAACACAGAATCCAGCATAGAATGTTCGTATTCGGCTAAGTTTAAAAATCGTAATTTGTTTTCAAAATTGAGTTTTTGCTTTCCCTAACTGCTCAAGTGGAGTTGTTATTATTTTGAACAGTTTCAAATACCTCTGGAATATCTTCAAAAATAAATCAAAGAGAAATTGAAATTTCTTGAGCAGCGAGTGATGTTAATTCCCCGTATCATGTTCATCCTTATTCTTAATTTTGGCAATCTCTTGAAGGTAGGTACGTATTGTCGGGATTCGGGATCGGAAGATCTACAATATGAACGAGCTCATTTTGGAACACTTGTAGGTTTTAGTCACAGCCCGAAAAAGAATAAACCTCCACGAAATTTCATAGCGGTGGCTTAAGTGTGAAACCACGCAGCCTTGTTTGCGACATTGCAGACCTCCTGTCATATATGTCAGTTTTTTTTGTGGAAAACCAGTCATCATAATTTCTTGAGAACCTTTTTGATAATTTTCCTCGGCAGCAGAATATTCTATAAAATGTTCTATCTCCTCGAAAATATAAAATAAAATAGGAGCGGAAATTTTGAGACATTGTAATCGAGATATATGTACGTGGTTTCCCACTTTGGCCATCGATATATTCTAATATATTATGAAATTTCGCATCTCTGTCTCCCGGTCTTCGTCACGCAAATTTTACATTTTTTACGGTCTTGGTACGAGATATTTAAAAACCAAAGCCGTTGGGTTAGATATTTTTCTTCGATTGCACCCCCCTCACGAATTCAACCAATCCAGGGAAACTTTTGAATAATTTGATTCATAGAGAAAAAAAAGGAGGTGTTTGCATTTCGGGCATCTTGGAATTTTTTGATGACTTGATGACGTAGGTGGGTACAGCTGGGTACAGAGACGTCCCCTTCACACTGTACCCACCTACGTCATCAAGTCATCAAAAAATTCCAAGATGCCCGAAATGCAAACACCTCCTTTTTTTTCTCTATGAATCAAATTATTCAAAAGTTTCCCTGGATTGGTTGAATTCGTGAGGGGGGTGCAATCGAAGAAAAATATCTAACCCAACGGCTTTGGTTTTTAAATATCTCGTACCAAGACCGTAAAAAATGTAAAATTTGCGTGACGAAGACCGGGAGACAGAGATGCGAAATTTCATAATATATTAGAATATATCGATGGCCAAAGTGGGAAACCACGTACATATATCTCGATTACAATGTCTCAAAATTTCCGCTCCTATTTTATTTTATATTTTCGAGNAACAGAGCAGAATCATGGAGTCCGAGCGAGCTGCACGCACGCTCCACCAGCTACTCCCGCTCTGTGATCGCCTGCACATCGTAGGGGGTCTTTGCCTGCAAAAACGCTCAATCACGGGAAGCCATCGCCCAAGATAACGGTGGACGGTCAAATCGCGATTCTCAAGTTAGTTTGAATCGAATATAATACGGGTTAATATTGGTTTGTGAATCCTTATTCGGTTCTTTATGTGTTCAAGTGCTCGTAAGTTTAGCGTATCGTTCCAACGCGCCAATTTTGTGCAGTTCCTGTGAAGTGTCCGTGCTCAAAACAATGGCGTAATTGTCCAGCCTATCCTGTTTACTTACTTATCTTTATTAGACGCCTCCGACAATCTAAGGATACAGTCTCATTTGCTTGCACCTTCGGCAGTTATTTAAGTAAGTTAATCACTTTTGTACAAACTAGTATTTCGTAAATATGTCGGAAATTACTCACTTGGCAGTTTCCGAGCGAACATAACCTGACCAATTTGCAATGTTCGATGTGGAAAAGGGTTTCTCAATTTCAGATATCAACAAGTAACTCACTCTACGAGAGCTTTAATTCTTTTCAAAATTCCACAAAACTCTTACCTTTGTTAAAGGTTTTAGGACCGTTGAAATTTTCTTTTGAGTCCCTGAAATTCTACAAGGTAAGGTTAAAGCTGACGCACTTATGAACAGTTGCTCCGTTGCAACTTTCATGTAACCTAGCCAATTCTTATTTTGATTCATACTTGCAATCTAGTTACTATCCTTTCTTTAGTTTCTGTAGGTGTAGTGTAATATATCACCTAAGCAATTCCTTTCTAACAAGTCTTAGTTCTACATCATGTTCCTTGATGAGGGGTGCAAGTCAGTATTCTGAAGTATGGTAGCGGTGGTTTTCAGTTTATGGACTGCGAAGATTAGGGTCCAACTGATAACTGTAGAATCTCTGAATGAGCTGTGTTCTGAACTTAATATAATGTTTTCCACTCTTTCATAGTTAAATGTTTTTGCTAGAGTCATCTCTAGAAGTTCATTCTCGACACCTTGGCTCCACATCGGAGCTCGCTTCTTATGCATTGACGCGGAAGTTATTCCGTGGTTAGTCGCAAATAAGTTCCACTCGGGTAATTAGTGTGCTCAAGATGAAAGTATGTAACATTGTATCTCTGTTACCTCGTTCCGTTTTAAATATCCTGTCACATTTTTCTATTTCATAGGAGGCGTGACAATTGTTTGCGCATATAATTTCGTCTGAATTTTCTTGTTCTTTCAGAAATACTTGCCTTCTTGAAAATTTAAATCTCAAGCTTAAATGTAGAACAGTGTTTCACTGTATAAATGCGTTACATTGATGTACCGATAAGTTCTGAATGAATGGGCTGATGAGTTTCAGGCCTGAGGTCTGCCCTTTGCAGGCTGTGGCAATCTTCAGCCATGGCTTAGCCAAAATTCAAGTAATCCAGATGTTTGTATCAATCCAATATGCAAGGTTTGAAATACCTCCAGTTATTGTGGTGGCAAAATAGTTGCATTTGGTTTCCTTTGATCATAGATATCACATCCCTAGTCGAAACCCGGAATCAATAACTCTCAGGTCAATGCAGATTATGAAATACGTACAAATATTTGAAAATTCTGTTAAAATCTAGGGGAAAAAGGTTGCTACACCTGAGAGCCCTCCGCGGTAAAACCATAACTTGAAAGGAACTTTTCGCAAGTGAAATTAGTAAGTAAAGTTGTGTTCCGAAATGCTGTTGCTCTGTGGTCCCAATGTATGCAAAAAACATGGCCCCAGTGTCAAAACCGTGTGACGCGTTTGGTTTTCATTCATGATGAATCTGGCATTATTAAATCCGATATCAAGTTAGGTATCATTCATCACTTGTTAAAAGTGTTGAACTTGTTGACGAATTTGACCACTCTGGGGTGCACGCTACAAAACTGTATAGCAAAGACTAATGATGAGCATTTTAAAAATGGTAAATTTTCTGAGATGTCATGCATTTTACTAAGGTCTTGAGTACTAATTTTAGAATAGGGAGAAGTGAATAGAATCAGGAATCCTGTTACAGTGTCAGTGCTGCCTGTAATAACGGGAACCACCATCAACAGTAGTCTAGCCATCTAATGGAGAATACGGGTGCATAAAGTTGTTTCTCTCTGATAGCTCAAACCTTACCCAGACTTTCGTATGCAAACCTATTGTCAGGAGGGATTGAAAATTCAGCAGCTTAGAACTGGGGGAAGGAAAAGATTGGACGGAAGTCGCATCAACCTGTACTTTAGCATCAATCATCAGCACCTGAATTTCTGTTGAATGGTGCCAATTTCTGATGTGACATTTGTCCAATCTTTTCTCTCCTCCGTTGGAGCATTGGAATATGTAAATTTTAATTTTGTAAATTTGTCTGGGAAGATCTTTCGCAATAGGTTCTTGAATTGAACTATTACTTAGGTTAAAGAATCATGTCATCAAGTTCCCTATCTATTGAGGAAGGTCTTCATTGCTATATAATATTGTACAAATTGGGTGAAAATGTACATATATTTCAGCTAATCTAACGCTTGGCACTTATATTGATATTATTTCATCCAAAGATTAAATGCCCTTAAATGTTAGTCTTTGTTCAAGCCTAGAATATTGCAGCTAGAAACGAGTGTATTGGCCTGGCCGCAGTTGCAGTTGAACATAGGGAGAGTTTTTTTTCCACTTTAAGAATGTATGGGCTGATTTAGTATGTTAAGGGTAAAACTACCAGACCATGTATCTTGTTTGCGGTGCTTAAAATTCTTAGCTCCCATTTCATTTTTTTGAAGGAGAAAAGATCAATATCTTTTCTTGAAATTTGCACAGAGTCTTCTTCGCACAGAGAGAGAAAAAGAAGAAGTTTTCAAGTGGACGTTGGGTGGTTTTCTTAAAAGATAGAGTATGTCTGGAAGTCTGTACACAATGTTGCCAATCAAGATGCGTCGTCTGATAGTTTCATTGTCAATGTGCTGTTACTTAATGCTAAAAGTGGGTCAGTTCGGCCAGTCACAGAGCATTGTGTCAAACAAGAATTTCTTCTCCGAGCAGACTTTAAGATAGTATTATTTCTTAGTAGGTACTATTTCGCTTCAAATAACAAATGCTGTACATATAAATGTATCAGCCATTGTTGAGCATACTCTTGGCTCCATATTAGAAAATCATGAAGTTGGTATTTCTAATTGATTAGGTATGCTCACACGATTTTTTGAGAGGGTCTCTACCCCTTAAAACCTCCTCGACCCCCTAGGGAGACTTTGAGGGGAAATTCAGGCGCGAAATTCTGAGGGTACATGCATCGATCCCCTGGCGAGTTAATATCCATCAAAAACCCAAAATCGAAAAAAAGGACTGCTATGTTTTTTTTTAAATTTGCCCATTCAAATGGTTCTAATTGCAAAATGAAGTCCTAATGTCCTAAACATAAGTGTGCACTTATGTTTAGTACGCACGCTTAGCTTTAGTTTTACCACGAGTCTTGTACTTAAGTAACTCAATATTGTTGATTCTGTCCAATTTTAAATCGGACTTTTTTTCAACAAAAAAGAAAAAAGAAGAACAATTTTTAGGTATGTCTTTGAATTGCCTCTTTCAAGACCGTACTTAATGTTCAAAATACATGTACCAATTCTATTGCTTGTCAGCAGAAACTATGTGGTGAATTCACCCATTGGACCAAATTTTGTGAGAAAGAACTACTATTTCCGACTCATCCGTAAAAACACGTATGTGCATCGGGAAACTAATGGCACATACGGACGTATTTATGCTAATAGGAACTATGTTACACGCAAACCCTATGCACATAGTTCCTTTTAGCATAAACACGTCCATACGTTCTTCCTAAACTGAGCCAAAAATCGTAGTTCTTACTTGGATAATGGAGTCCAATTCTGCCGTTCTAAGGGAAAACGCCGTACGAACCATCAGGCGTTGCCAAATTTCCTCTGATATAACACGAATTTCCTGGTGAAATTATGAATATTTTCCTTTCGATTTTTCAGATAATTTTTTACGCAATTTCACGTATAGTTCCTGAAAATTTCAAGGAAATATATTTATAAAGGAGGGGTGGCGATTTGGGCCATTTCCGGCCCCACCTAATCCGGGACTTTTTTTGCTGTGATTCGTTACGTATAAGTGTCAAGAGAAAGCATGCCAAGTTTCAGGCCGATCGGCCCAATATTCGGGGGGCAGGGGCCCCCCGAATTTTTAAGCGCAAAATCGGTTTTAATTTTGTAGCGCCGTCAATTTCGCTCGTATACAGATGAAAATTGGGTGNTCCTTTCCTCAAAAATAAACATTTTATCGAAGGAAATTTGACAACTCTCAAATGTCCATACGGCGTTCTTCCTTAACACGGCAGAATTATCCCAGCTATCCTTTCGCTTGTTCGTCCATCTTCGTTAAAAAGACCCATTTTGGCGCGAAAATCGACAACATGAGCGAAAGGGGTCCAGCGGCCGGCGAGTCTGGTGGAATTGATTCAATTACCGGGGGATGAGGGCTGCTGCGTGGGCCGCGACCGGGGAGGGGTGGGGGGTCGAATTGTCCCGTCGATAAAATTGAATAAGGAAACCCGGCTCCTTGGATAGGAAGGGCGGCGGGGAGTCAATTTTGAGCGACGACCGTATCGCTGTCCGCGTCTTGGTTGTGACGTAATTAAGCCCCAAGATCAAGGATATCGCCCCGGTCCGGGCGACGCTGATGCTTTCGCGATGTGGGCGGGATGGGAGCCGCTTCCTATCCGGAGTAGGTCAGTGTAAGTACCTGTATCCGCCATGTATCTTCTTGTGGACCTCATTTAAGCCAGGGGAAAAGCACGTAAAGACCGGACACTAGGGGCGCGTACCTTGCGCCTTGAATCACGTAACGCGCTCAGAGGGGTTCTGAGTTAGTGTTATTAGGCAAGGGGGGAGCACGGCGTTTTTAGGGGAGGGGGAGGGGGATGAGCACAGCGTAGCGTGAAATTTTCCGAACACATCGCGCCAATCGTCAATTCGCGCTTTTGGATGGTAGCTCGTTTGCGCCAATGATAGTAGTGTTGAGACGATAGATGGGTAAGTACCAAAAGACGTCACCTCTCTAACTAAGGGCGTATCCCGATTTCCGCATGAGCCCCCGAAAGCATTGATTCATATACGTGAAACAGGGCTCACGTGGAAATAGAGGTACGCCCTTACGCCAGAGGGGCGACGAAGAGAGGAAGAATCAAATAGTTCTGTTTGGCTAGGTCAGGTTCGGTTGGTTTCCGAGATTGGGCTTTTGGACGACTCCTTGTGTTTCAAATTCACGCTTTTAGTCCGTGCATGTTTGCGCTTTCGGGAATTTGCGCCTAGCTCCGTTTTCACATGCGTATATGTCGCTCCCAGGGGTGCAG